CCCACACCCACACCCATACCCACACCCACATCCTGGCCACCACCCCGACCCCACTGCACCCGCGCAGGTTCTTCCCAAGGAGTACGGCGGCAAGGCCGAGCTGCGGCCTATCGACGAGGCGGCCCGCGCCTTCAAGCTGCCCCCCTACAATGCCGCGGCCACGTCAGCGCCAGAGGAGCCCGATGCGGCCCTCGAGGTCAGCGACGGGCCGCAACCGTCTAAGGCGGGGGCTTCGGTAGGCAGCGGCGCGGGCGCGGCGGCGGTGCCGGCGTAGCGCGAGCGACGTCAGGAGTGCAACCCAATCATTCGTTTCTGCGACAAGCAGACTATGTTTGACAGACCAGTTTGTAGGGGTGAGGCGCCGAGGGCGCCCCGAGAACCGTGACACCTCACCAAGTCCTGGGGCAGCTGCGCCCACAAGGCGCACTCGCGGCACGCCCCGGGCCGCGCCGATGCCGGCAAAACAGTGGCGGTGGATCGCGTGGGCGCGCTCGCAGGTGTGTCACCTGCTGCGCCGGGTGATGCCTGTGGGCCACAGTTTTTGACGGCCCTTGACAGACTGACCGTTACAGCGCGTTACTTATGACACTTTGAATAGCAGATGTGCTGCTTCTGCGCAAGACCAGGCGCCCGGGTTTTGGCTATGCCGCAGCGCCGTTGTTGCCACCGTCCCCGCTGCTAGGCCCGCGCCGCAACGGAATTGCACTTGAAATTGGTCGTGTTCCGTGGGGCCAGCCCTGCTGCCAAGCGGTGGTATGTGATTGCGCACCGGGACTCTGCTGGTGGGGCAGACCTGGGCTGTCTCCTCGAGCGTGCTGGCCGCCGCGCTCAGGGGCGTCTGACGCGTCCTTTCTAGGAACTGCAACACTTCTTCGTCCGCTTGGCAGCGCGCGGCACCCATTGATGCGGATGCTGCTGCCATGCGCGCTCAAGCACGCACATCACTCCAGCCTTGCGCCACTCCTTATTGATCGCATACATTTCGCACGCGCAGCTGAGTTTGAAGCCTGATTGGCGCTGCCACTCTCCTAGATACCACCGATAAGCTCGATGCCAATTACATGTAAGCTTCAGGGCTACGTGCTGATTGCAAGCGCGCCGATTCGCGGACAGCATGTCAGACGTCGCAAAGGGGCAGAGCCTGTGCTGTCAGCGCAGTGGGTGGCAACAGCTCAAGGGCTGGGGCCAAGAAGCATCTGGTGAGGACAAGCTGAGTCAGAGGGGACGCCTGTGAATGCTGATTTGGGCCGTGCGGCCTGTTCTATATCCTCTCACTATACACTCATGTCTGCTTGCCTGCGCAGCCCCGCGCGGCTGCCGCGCAGCGGAGGAGTCAGGGAGATGTTTGGGCCCCAAAGCGCCGGCCGCTGCCGGGCCGATCCTGCTGCCCGCCTCACTGCGGGCCCTCCCACAGCGAGTGCAGGCCAAACAGCACGAAGAGAATGCCGCCGATAATCTGATAATTGGGTGGGGGGGGGGGGTTGGGAGGACAGAAGCACAAATTAGGCAAGGCCAGGCTGCTGATCACAATCAAGTGGGGGGATTACGGATCCAGAGGGCATGTGGGTCTCAGCGGATGACAGTTCAGTGCTGAAGAAGCACGCCGCAGCGGGGTCCGCCGTGCGCACGTCGCACTGCAGCTAACTGGTGTGTATGAGCATGTGTGTGTGTGTATGAGCATGTGTGTGTGTGTGTGAGCATGTGTGTGTGTGTGTGTGTGTGTGTGTGTACGCGTGAGCTTGAGAAGGAAAGGAATGTTGCTCCAGAGATTTGCCCACTCACCCCGACCGTCCGCTCGTCGATGTGCACTGCCAGGTGGCGGCCGCCCAGCACGGCCACCGCCGTGCACAGCGCGTGGCCGATAATCGATCCGAGGGTGACGCCATACACGTCCGAGGACGCGGCGAGGCCGATGGTTGCGATCTGGCTGCGGTCGCCCCACTCTGCCAGGAATGTCAGCGTGAATGCATTGACAAATACCTGGATTCGAAAAATGGATGAGGGGGCGCAGTAACGCCAGCCGGTGAGCGTGGGTGGTGTTGACGAACGTTTGCTGTCTGCTTAACAGGCAAGACGGGCGGCCTTACACTGAGGCTGCATGAGGGTGGCGCCGCCCAGCGGCCACAGGGGTGCGCCAAGAGGTGCCCGCGGCGGTGGGGCCAACTGTGAGGGTAGGCCTGCCTGGTATGCGCACAGCAGCGGGCGACTGCAGAGCCATGTATCACCCGAGCCCCTCGTCTCCCTGGCCCCTGCCCCCACCGGTGAGATGACGCAAGCCAGCAGCTGCGCCGCCCGCCCCGGGCCGCCGGCGCGCGTGGGGGCCCGCTTCGCGCCGTTGGCGCCGGCCGGCTGCTCGTCCCCCTTGTATGCGCTTAGGCGGTCCCTGCTGCCGCGGCCGTCAGCCAGCTCCTGCTCAACCGCCTCCAGCTCTGACTCGCCCTGTCGAGTTGGTGTGTGAGGAAATATTTGTGAGTGCGTGCGTGCGTGTGTGTGCACGCGTGTATGTTTGTGTTAATGCACGTGTCTGGGTGGAAAGGATTCAGGAACCATCCAGGTTGCGATGCCAGGTAAGCGGGTTGCAATTTTGAAAAGTGGGCGTTTGCAGGGTCCGACAAGGGGAACGGGGGACTGCGCCGCAGCGATGGCCGCACGCCCTGGGTCCCCCCGAGTTGCTGCAGAGTACCGGGTGAACCCCGGTGGCTCTAACAATCTCCGGTCTTCGACCTGCCCGCCCCCTCCCCCTGGTGTCCAACGC